CCCCCCCCGCCGTTTTCCGCGGCATTCTCCCCGATGGCAAGTCCGTCGCCATTAAACGCCTCCAATCATCCTTCCCTGACCGCCATTTCCACAACGAACTCAAGGTTCTCGCCGATTTGCCGCACTCACCCTTCATCGTCTCTCTCCTCGGATACTCCCACCGGCGACCCCATTCTCTTCTTGTATACGAGTACATGAGCAATGGAAGCCTCCAAGAAGCTCTTTTCGGTTCATCTCGTCCTCTCATTGATTGGGACCGCCGGTTTCGAATCATCCTCGACGTCGCTCAAGCTCTCGCCTTTCTGCATCTCCACTGCGATCCGCCGGTCATCCATGGAGATGTGAAGCCCAGCAATGTTCTTCTCGGCTCCGATTTTCAGGCAAAGCTGGCTGATTTCGGTCTTTCCAGGCGGAAAGCTGACATTTTTAGCGAAGAACTCAGCTTGAGCCCGCAGGTTGATCCTTCCCTTCCCTGTTATTCTCCGAATCGTGAAAAGAAGGCGACTTTGATAAAGGAGAAGGATTTAGCACCAAATTCTTGCTGTGATGAGGATGTTGTATTTGTGGAGAAATTCAGTGAGTTGGGAGGGAGTTCTCCATTTGATGACGGGAGGATAGATTGGTGGTGGAAGCAGGATGGGACTGAGGAGATTAGCAGTAGAGATTATGTGAGAGAGTGGATTGGGAACCAGATCTCTCCTTCAAAGAACCCTGATTGGGAGGATGAGAGAAAGAGCTCTCCTGAGTTAATAAGCTCAACTCAAATGGAAAAACTTGACCAAACCAGCTTGAACGAAACTGTTCTTAAAGACAAGAAGTTCAGAACTAATGCTGAAGCCCGATGCGAGAAGGAGAGGAAGATGAGAGAATGGTGGAAAGAAGAGTACTTTGCTGAGATCAGTAAGAGAAGCAAGAACAGTAAGGGACTGAAGTGGTTCAAAAGCAGCAAATTTGGAGAAATGGATATGAGCTTCAGGAGTTGGAAGAAGACGAAGAACCAAACAGTTTGTAGTGAGATATTGAGCAGTGATCTATACAGCAAAGAGCTCAGCAGCACTACAAGCATGAGAGGAACTGTCTGCTACGTCGCTCCGGAACATGGAGGTTTCAATCAAGCTAATGAAAAGTCTGATATATACAGCTATGGAGTTCTGATACTCGTTATTGTGTCTGGAAGGAGACCTCTACATGTTCAGGATTCCGCCATGAAGCTCGAGAGAGCTAATCTCATAAGCTGGTGCAGGCAATTAGCGCTCGTGGGAGACGTTTTGGAAATCCTGGATGAGAATTTGAAAGATTCTTGTAACAAAGATGAGGTTCATCTTTGTATAAATTTAGCACTTTTGTGTTTGCAGAGAGCGCCAGAGTTGAGGCCTGATAGTGGGGAGATTGTGAAGATTTTGAAAGGTGAGATGGAAGTTCCAGTTGTTCCATTGGAAGCTTCAAATTCTCCTATTAGCAGATCAATGAGGAGAAGTATGCAGGATTCAGGTTAATGTTTTGAATCCTTCTTTTACTTTGGTTATGTTCTTTAAAACTTTGATTTTGATGTCTATTTTTTAGTTTGATTTGTTGGGAATATGATTTTATTGCATTTGGAAGAGGTTATGTGAGGATTTTTATTCCATGTTTTATATATGTTGCTAATTCAATGCTGTTCTTCAATTTTCATGATGAACTTTGCAAGATTTGTTATGTTAAGATACTGTACTTTGTAAGGTATGATGACTAAAATTTGATGGCCTAAATATAGTCAGAATGTTGGCCCGTCCAGAGCCGAGGGGTTTAAACTTCTCGACTCCTTCCGAGTCAGCCAAAACTCGTATTTGATGACTCGACAAGAGTCGTTCAGATCTCACCCTCGGCTCTGACGGATAAAAATAAGCTATCCCAAGGTGATTGGACGGTCAACAAAACAAGAGATTTATGAGGAAATCCCAAGAAGGAAACTCTACTGATTCAATAGAAGAAACAAAGTCGGCCTATCTATGCATTTTATGAATATTTAAGTATTTAAAATTCTTTTAAAGTTGAATTAAAGTTGTCTCAACATGTCTGCTGTAATGAATGTGATAAGTCAAATGATTTTAAAGTTGAATTAAAGTTGTCTCAACATGTCTGCTAATGTAAGGGTGTAATGAATGTGATAATTTAAATGATCGACGTGTGCTATAATTGTCCTCTGGTTGGTCAAGTATATTATATATCCCTGTGTCATTTGTGTTAAAATAAACTGGAGTTGGACTACAAAGTTGAAGTTATAAAGTTTAGAAAGTTTATAGTATATTCTTCTAATTGTTATAACAATGTAGTATATAGAATTTATTTTACCTATAAATTTTAGGGTATATTTAGAAGTGTGTGAAGAACCAACAATATTCGAAGGACCATCAGCATTTGAAGGAGCATCGATATCAGAATCGTCAATTGGCAAGGGCTTAGCCCAACATAAATTACTATTATGTGTTTTGTGGCTTCTAGCAACATAAGCTCACAACATTTGTCATCATTGACCAAAGTTGCAGTAAAATCCCCACTAACCAACGACAGACTATAGTAACGGTATGCTTTGAACATCCTTACACAGTAAACAAAGTATTTATTTTTTTTAATTCATCTAGTGTTATGAACTGTGAAACTTGAACGGGAAGATCACGTCCATCAACATAGGTGGGAGTGAAATCTTCTGTGAGTCGTAACTCACTATCAAAATATATCAACAAGCGTGACATGTTCGTACTCATACTTAAACATTAGTTATGATCCTGCAATTGATTTTATTAAAGCGTAAGAGCTAAAATTTATTTGAGCGTAATTAAACTTATAACTGTAATAATAATAATTAAGAAGTTTAGAAAATACTTCAACGTAATTGAGACAATAAGGAGTTTAGAAAATTACTAAATTTAAAATGTTGAAAGTTCTATATGATCTATATAGGTTATTGTTACACCAGAGACTTCATACTAGTAGCCCTGCGACGTCGGGTTTCCAAACTATATAGACTCACAGTTTTAATTGACATTTACTTAAATCTAATTAAAAATACTTCAATTATAACAACCAATAATAATGACTGCAAAATATAATGAAAAAAAAATGCATTTATATCTATAAGAACTTCCAGGTGAAAATGGGGTACAAAGACTGCTTACGTCCCAAAGACAATTTAGGTTTTTTTTTGACAAAGTTTTTTATAACTTTAAAATCACTATATTTCATGTACATATAACCTTGGCCTAAGGATAATTTTATCGTGTTCTCGACTGCTTACGTCCCAAAGACAATTTAGGTTTTTTTTGACAAAGTTCTTTATAACTCTAAAATCACTATATTTCATGTACATATAACCTCGGCCTAAGGATAATTTTATCGTGTTCTCGTAATAAGAAGTATTGCAAGAGAAAAATAAACATGAATAAACGACATTAAGTTTTAAATTAATTTCATAAACAACTAAATTGTTCGTACATTAATAACAATGATGTGTAAGAGAATATCTTGCGACATGAGCAGCAATTCGACATAACATAAATAATTTATAATAGTTTCGGGGAGCATTTCAACGATTCGTTAATCATTCAAGTATGTTACAGATAGAATTTCGACATAGTAGAAATACTAAAATAATTAAGAAATTTATGAGCATAATAATGATGTGGGATAAAACTTTATTGGAGAAAAATTTAGCAGAATTTTATCAAATCGTGCATTATTTAAAACAATAGCATGCATTATAATAAAAATAAAAAATAAATGTTGTGAATTAAAAAATATTAAAAAAAAAAACGGATAACATTTTTGTATTTCGTAAAAAAAAAAAAAGCAAGAGCAAGGGAGAAGAGAACTAATATGCGCCCGCCTAGCAGGCTCATGCGCTCCTTTTAAAAAAAAAATTACATGCTTCACATGCTAATAAGAGTAATTAATGAGGGGCTTTTTATAATTTCGCCAATTCATAAATCTCCATGCCTAAAACTTGAAATCCTAAAAGTCACGCAAAAGGGAATGCAACGCACTCCTTTTTGCAACCGTCCAAACAGCCCCGTATAGGGTGAAAATGAGATGTCCAAGACAAATCGTCGGCATCCCTTATCTTTTGTAGCTTTCATTAATATAATTTATTATTAGAATATTTACAAATATACCACTCAATTCCTATGTATTTACATATTTAAAAACTTAACTTCAATTTGTACATACACATCACCTTACCTATACCTATGCATGAAAAGGTGTATTTCACCTTTTAGAAGTTAAAAAACTGGTATTTTTAATGTGGTATCAAAGACTTAGGTGGTATAAATATAAAAAATAAAGTCTGGAAAATAACTCATGATTGTAGGGTAAGTTATTATTATATGATTTCTTAAGAGTGGAATGAATCTATCAACTGTTGGACCCATTTTATAGCACTTTAGAAATGATTAAAGAAGCTATTGACAAGTTCATGTAAGCTTTCATTCCACTCAACTGAATAGCATGATTGTATGTCTGCCCATTGGGGCCTTTCTTTAAGGAAAATTTTCACTGTCCAGCTGGCTTGGTATGAAAAATCCCCTTTTTTTTTCTAATTATATGAAAATTTTAATTCATAGATATAATTAAGTTTTGTACACATTCCTCGTAGGTGTTGGTAACATGCTGTCATGATAGCATGTGACGAGAGAGTGTGGTGGTGGGCCTATGATGTGTGCTTATGGTTGGATAATGGGACAAATTATGTGTCATCAAAAGCTAAATTGACTGTAAGGTAAGTTAGAATATTAGTAGAATTTTATTTTGGGAAAATTTACGGACATGCCACTCAATTCTCATGTATTTATAGTATACATTAACTAAACTTTTATTTACATTTATCACACTTTCAATATCATAAATTTATGAATAAAACTCTATATTTTGCTTTCTTAAAGCGCAAATAAAAATGATATTTTTTATGCGATATTAAAAATTTGAATGCAATACATGTAAATATGAAAGTTTCAGTGTTAGATATATAAATCCATAAGAATTGTGGTATAAATGTAAATGGCCCTTCATTTTATAATTAAAAAGGATACTAAAGATAAAACAGTAAAAAAAAATAGATTTTAATGATTTTTTATTTGTTTGGCTCATAAGAAATGTCTTTATTTCATTGTATATTTTTGAACCAGATCAATGCATATTGACTAAGATATTAAACTGAAAAAATAACATCTTTATTCATATAAATCAACAATTATTAAAAGGGGGCATTTACATACTTATCACTCAATTCTTATATATTTACATATCTATCTTTTAAAACATAAAAAACACCACTAATTTATCTTTTAAAACATGAAATATATATATTTACATGCATAAGTAAGGTGGAATGTAAAAATTTATGTTTAGGTGTTAGATATGTCAATACATTGAAATCGAGCGGTATGCATGTAAATCTTCATTAAAACAATATTACAATATGCACTTATATATGAAAGTTTCAAGCCAAGAAAAAAGATTTAGATTTTAGATTTCAAGCCGAACAAATTTAGGAGCAATTCTCGTGCGAGTTATGAGTTTTAGAAACAATAATGAACAGAGTCTTACAAAAGTTGTATGAGATGAGTGTACAAAATTGAAGTGTAATGGATGAGTGAAGTCCTATTGCTTGAACCCTTCACTGAGGCCAGGTGGCATACCAAGACTCTGGGCAAGATTTCCCATTCTCTCTTTCAGGGCCTGCAAGAAATTGGGACTTATTTCTCAAATTATGTTCAGGAAGTGTGCTATCAAGTTAAATAAAGTAATTTCATGTATGAGAGAACCAGTTCTTGCCTGAATGCTTTTCTGGTGTGCATCCTTGTAGGCTTCAGTTACCAGCAAAGCCACCTTCTGTGGATCAATCAAAAGCAGAGATTTTGATTAAGAAGATTTACATACTTACCATTTAATTTCAAAGTA